TTGGTGGCATGGTTTGGGCCTGGTTCATGGTGTTGGTTTTATAACTCCTTGTCCTGACCAAGCAGCGTGGTTGGTGCTGGTTGCAGCTGGGGCTCTTTTGCTATTTGGCTCACTTTTCTTTTCTTGCAGTTTCCTGCCACAGCAGAGCTGGGATTAGGGAAAAGTTCTCCCCTCTGCTGGGTATGGGCCTGTGACTATACCATCTTAATACCATTTACACCCTCACAAGAGACTTTGTAGCTCTGATGAATCCCTTGGCTCTGACCCTCAGCATAAAGAAGACTTTTACCCACAGAGCTTTGCCCTTAAAGGCCTTTAGAGCTGCTGTTTAAAATTAAACTAACTCTGCTGCTTTTCTTCTCTCTCTCTGTCTCTCTCTCTCTATGTCTCTCTCTCTCTCTCTCTGTGAAGAACCAAAGCTGGAGCCTAAACCGGAACCGAAGCTGGAGCCCCCACCAAAAGAGAGTGCCAGTGAATCTCTAACTACACAAGAGGCAACTGCAGCTAGCCAGCTGGGGCTTGGAGTCTCTTTTTTCCCTTGGGCTCTAGGCGGTGATGGTAGTAGGTAATGCAGCTCCTTGGTTCCTGTAGATTTGGTTTAAGGTGTGTGAAAGAAAGCTTATGCAAGACACTGTATAACTATAACTATATAGATATGTGTGTGTATATATAGATATAGATATAGATATGTGTGTGTATGTATGTATGAATGTATATATATATTCCCTGCCCGCCCCCCCCCCAAAAAAAAGAAAAAAAAGAAAAAAAAGGTTTCTTGGATACTTAGGTTCCTTAATGCTCTGAGCCTCTGGTCCTTTCCATTGCTCTTGGCATGCAAGGGTATGTTTCCTTGTAGTTGCTTGGTGGGACGCTCTTAACAAGGGAGACACTTTACATGTTGCAAAGTTGTGACTCAGCATTGCTGGAACCTCCTTGTTAATAGATGTTCTCTTCAGAGTGTAAACAGTAGATAGGAGGATTCATTTCTTGTCAGGGAGCACAGATTGG